TCCGCAAATTTTGTTGTGAATCTCTGAAAGTGTAGATTCTTTGAAAGTTAATTGATTCCTTCCTGTTGCAGCAAGCATTATAGGTATAGTTGTACCTGGTTCGCTGCAGATGAAGGGGCGTGTCAGGCAGTATGAGTATGCCACGGCGCCAAACCCGTTCTCTGCCAGTTGCTGAAGCGGGTATGCGACAACAGTTGTTAGAAACGGGTGATAGGAACGATATGATAAAGTTCTGTTGCCTGCTCGCTTCAGTAAGTACTGGTTAACAGGTTTAGCGTCACGCCAAACTCACTGCTGATAGGCCCTTTTGTCCGCAGCGAAGTAGACTATAGTTACAGTATACCTGTTAAAGGAGTAGCGATAAGCACTTCTTGTATCAACTCACTGTTGTCATCGTTGTTGGAAATCGACTGTCAGTTCGACTCTTTCGAAGTGCTTGAAGGATATGGAAGAAAAAAGGTCCGTTTCAAGGTGCCGGTTGTTGTTGTTTTTTAATAGTAGTTATTACCAAAGTTGAGGGGAGTTCCAGGCAGAGATTTGACCTTAGGGGAGATCGAACCCACATCGAACGCCTTACCGGGCGAGTGCACAATCCATAACATCATAAAACGCCCCTTACCCCTCAACCCGATGGCTTTTGTGGTACAACCTTACAGCACTTACATGTTTAACATGAGATACATGATAATGGCTGAGGAACGGGTTCAAGTGCAGCCTGAGGTCAATGATTTTGTCTGAAACTCAGCATTTTTGTGATAATTGTCGAAGCGGGAAATGTGGCGTTGAAAAGCAGTCATCATGGTAAAACAACTCCAGCAGTCAATAAGAGTTATGTTTAGGAAACTGGAACCCGATCAGCACACTTTTGAAGTTCTTCTTACCGGTATAGCCCGAAAAGGTGATGTCGAAGGATGTAGAAAGATGGTATGGTAACAGTTCTTATTTGAATGTTAAATTTTTATTCCACGCAGACTAGCAAAATAGGCAAGAAACAAAACTCACATCAATTAGAAGATCTGGTGTAAGGCAAGGGATGAGATTATTTCTTTAGTGAATTGTTGGTGATGATTACTGACAATGAGTAATCTGAGAAAATTGCATTTCCGCTCCATGTTTGAGGTTTATGAGATGGCAAGGCGTGGATTCTTAGTGAACAGTGCCTGCAACGATGCTCTCGTCTATTGTTTTGCGGTCAGAGGACATCACGCAAAAGCTGATTCATTGGCCGAGGTTTCTTTTTTTAGTATAAATGTTCAGCACTTTCCCCACACTTTCCGATCACTCCGTGCTTCTAATTTTGTTTTCTTTTGACTCACTCAAAAAACGCTTATCATTTCAGCAGGCTTTGGGCAAATATGGCGCCGATGCTGTTTCCAGTGCTCAAGGAGCGTGCGCAAAAGCTGCTGCAGCACGTGTAGATCTGAATCGTCTGAGAAAGGTAACACCTCTAACATTATATTCTATTGGCCTCTCAAACTACATTGGGCAATTTTTGAAAAGAATCGAAAATTTTCGGAGCGCCCTCTTTACACCGGTTAGTTAAATGACCAGATTACACTAGACACTACTGCAAGCCCCGCCCCGATAGCCACGCCCACTTTTCAGCGCGACAATGAATCTTCAAGTTTCATTTTGTACCTTCTGCTCGTGTGACTCTTTTCTACTTGTGCTATTCCACACACTGACTGGAAAACGTTAGCGCACACCTAGTTCGATTCTAGAAGTGTCCGATCCAGAGAGAAATGGGTAAATAATCCTGTTATGGCTAGCAAAAAGAAGCAGCGACCGAATATCGGCCATCGCATGAGTCAAGTGCAATGGGTGTTTCGAAGCGGAGCTGAGCAGCTCTGCTAATGAGTCTGCCGTATCATTAGCAGAGTTGTCTGCACAGAAAGCACCTTCGCGAAGCCCTGCAATACCAAGAAAAGAATTCTGTCGCCGAGGAACTGATCAGCGAGACTATGTGATACCGTGATTCTCGTTCCGCGATTCACCTATTCTGTTGTAATAAGTTTCAAAACTCATCTCAGTTACGCAGCCTGTGAATGGGGAGAATAAGTACAAACTAGCGGGCTGTAGCCTCACAGTGACTTAATGTGATTAGATACTTCTTGCATAGAGGACAGTAATCGATGCAATTCTCTGGTCAGGTTCTGCGGCGAGCAGTTATGGGAGCGGAGCGTAAGCTCATTTTGTCCTCTTCTGATGTACTGGAGACCATCTGGCTGTTGGCAGAAAAGAGCCGTGATGGCGATGGAGCGGAATTCGTCAACCTAACTGAACAGGTTAGTCGTTATTTACGCTATTTCTGTGAAGGCACGCCCCGGGATGGGAACTAGTGAGGTGCGGCTCACACTCTCATGACAACATGGTAAGAAACACAAAAAACGACATGTTAAGAAACATGGAAATGAAAAAAGGCAGAGAAAAGCGTCCTTTATTGCTTTTTATGGAACCTAATGCTAAACTATACCTGCACGTGCTAAAGGCGAAGAGAAGCGGTGATTGCACTTGTGGTGCCAGCTTCCCCTTATCATTTCGCTCTTACCATTCGAAATGGAGAGAGCTAGTAGCGGAACAACCGCACCATCAATTAGCAATTGAAAATGAAAGATAGGCGCTGCCATGTTCAGGGGGCAGGTCGTGGCTTTCGTCGCAAGCAGGAGTACTCATACGCTTGATCTTGTCTAGTTTCTGGTGCACGCGATCTATTGAGCCTGTGTCAAGGCACTGCAAGCATCGGACTGTAGCACGGTTCTATTCAGTCGGTATGCTGTGCGACGAGCTTACCGTTGGCATCGTGCCAGTAAGCGCTACGGTGGATATCGTTGCATGTGTGTACTCACAAATCCATGCAGCACCGCGGCCGCTTCATGTCATCTTCGCTTCATATTTTACTTCGCAAATGAAGCAATACGAGCATCAGGTACGGTCGTCCATTTGTGGGCGGGCGGGCGCGGTGGGCGTTCGGGTCGGTATGTTGCAGCTTGATAGGGCCTCATAAGGGTACCTCCCTCAAAAAGACCGCGGAGCTCCTGCTCAGGGGCGCGGAATATCGTCCTGCCAGGCGTAGTAGTAGTAGTTGTACTCCTCTTAGAGGTTTATAGTGCTACCTTTGAGTCATATTCCGCGTTGCCTTATAGGTGACCCTTTGCAATGTTGAAAGTTTTCCACTTTGGGGGGTAATAAGTAACAAGCCGAAGGTTCGCCACCCATAGAAGTTGCTTCGGCCATCTGATTGTGAAATATACCAGCTATCCCACCTTGTCATGAACACATGTGTAAGCACTGTCTCGTTTTTTCGACCCTCGTCCCTTCCCCTAACAAGGACCTGACTTAGCAAAATCAGACGACTGGGGCCCGATCTTGCTTTCACCTCACCCTCTCCTTCATGAACTAGGTTAGCGCCGTACATTAGCTCGTAGAGACAATGAAAAACTGTTGGAGAAGAAGAGTTCTGGCTACACAGAACGGGCACTTGCAAATGTTGCCACCATGAAAGCCGTGGAACGACAGCGGGCTACCGCATTTTTACCTAATCTTTCGCCTTCAATTAATCTTACGATCCAATTTATAGATGCTTAATCACACCAATCACGAGTCGGGATTTTTTCGCCTTTTAATTCGGGAAGTTGAACGCCATATTAGCCACCAACACTACTATACTGCTGTTGCTCTTCTGGAAGACACAAATAGAATAGCGGACTGCCTGAAAAACCAACAAAAATCTCGTGAGTCTCGTGAACACTTTTCATCCATCGCTGTTCTTTTCCTCCTTCTACTGAACTCCTGTCCCGCTTCACATCGCTAATATCTTTATTCAGTGTTCTTGGATCAAATGATTGCTCAACTCAGTAGACAAGTAATACGTAATGAGGTGAACGTGGTCAAACTCAACGATATAGCCAATCGTGTGGTTGCGATTTTTCAGAACCATCCCAATGCGTGAGTTTACAAATGATTCCTCAGTAGCATTTTATTAATATAGGCCTGCGTTCTTCTCTCGAGGTGAAACCGCTCTTCCAACAGATTCGTAGATTTTTTTCGTGACATTTCTTCAGAGTTACAGCCTCCTTCAATAAGTGTGTTTACCAAAAATAAAAGTCGCGCCGAAGTCTGGAATTGACTTCCTGTGCTATGTAGAAATGAGTCACCACAGGACAGATGCAGTGCGAGCGACCCTACCTGGATGGATGCACAGACCTTCTGAGAGAGTCGAGCAGCGCCCCACTGTGTGACATTGTCAGGCGGTCGTACTAGTGGAGGAGTGGGGAGGGGACGGTCTATCTCGGCATGTATGGACATCCGTGCGGTACCATACAGAATTGACCTAGCAGCAGTGCAGCCAAGCTGTAGCTTTGCCTATCCTTCATGATGGGGCCATCGTGAGTTAATGGAGCAGTTAATTTATGAGGGTTAGCTTTTGATTCTAGACAGTTCATGATGTGAGAGAAAAATCGGAAAACTAGTCAAATGCCGAAGAATCTTTATGGCAGGTGGAATTGAGGCTAATGTAGAGAGATGTAGTGTTACTGGGTAGCCCAATACGACGACACTGAAATTGGATACCAATGATTTGGCTAGAGTGTTTTGAGATCGCCTAAGAGAGACCGACATCCCTCGTCATGGTTGTTCTATTACAAAAAAGTTAATTTGAAATGTCAGCGGAAGTGCTCATCTGATGCAGAGTGAAATGGCACCGATATTATGAACAGATTGTGCTCACCTATGAAGAAGGCTCGCTGTAGTTGTCGTTTCATGGTTACTGGAAAAAATTTGTTCATAATAATGACTTTGATAGGGCATGAGCATGGTATGCAGCACAGCATGGCAGGGCATCATGAGTGCCTACTGGTAAGGTGAAGTCTAGTAGAAAGGATGCGCAAGTTACGGCAAAACCCAGTAGTTAGGTAGCCCAGGCTTCGGACGCAAACCTTTTATTGCACACCGACATTTCCACGTCAATATGAACATAGGAAATGATGAGGATCCTATTAGTGAAGGTGGCGTGAAAAGGGAAAAGAGCTGATAGGCAGGTATGGCCAGAAAACGTGAATTCATCCGAACACCCTTCCCACCATATGCTCATCCTGAGCTCAACATCAAGGGATTATTGCTTGAGGCGTTTTCTGCTGTTTTTCTTGTTTTATTTTTCACAATTTTGCTTACTAAATGAATCGATTAGAGATCGTCAGGAACAGTCGTCCATTTGTGGGCGGGCGGGCGTTTGGGTCCGAATGTTGTGGCTTGATAGGGATCTTATAACGAGGCACCTCCTTGGAAAAGGCATTATACTGTAGCTTCGCTTGCGCGGACGGTGGCTGTGTGTCAGAGCGCCTCGTTTGGCGCGGGTGCAACTCGTTCTACAGCCAGTTGTTGACAGCGGGCAAAATTGACAATACCTGTTCAAATTATTCGTATTACCGTTTTCTACCACTTTCTTCGGTCGCAATGCGCTTTTCAACAGAGGGCACGGGAACAGCTCTTATAGGGTGACACACTCATACTGGCTGACACGCCCAACCGTCCGCAGAGAATTAGAGTGTATGCAGCGGCTGGTCAGGGTCGCAGAATTCCGTGCTGCCAGAAGCATTAATTGTGCTCGTCTTGGGGGATTTGTCGTGCCAACTGCCTTTAGGATGCGCGAGTTACGGCAAAAGGTAGCCCAGGCTCCAGACGCAGACCTTTTATTCCACATCGACCATTTCGACGTCAAGATGAACATAGGAAATGATGAGGATCCTATTAGTGAAGGTGGCGTGAAAAGGGAAAAGAGCTGATAGGCAGGTATGGCCAGAAAACGTGAATTCATCCGAACACCCTTCCCACCATATGCTCATCCTGAGCTCAACATCAAGGGGTTATTGCTTGAGGCGTTTTCTGCTGTTTTTCTTGTTTTATTTTTCACTGGTAGGTCTCCGAGCGCTTTCACATTAGCATTTGGTCCGACTGTCCACCATTCATAGTCACGAAATTTGCCTTTAAGGATGACGGTTTTTGTTTTCTGTCTACAAAGCGGTTCTTTCCTTTGTAATATATAATTTTTAGATAAATCCGGTGTTTTTCAGTCCGCGGATACATGACGACTTGCTATTCGCTGTAGTTATGTACAAAGAGTTTAGCATGGATAAAAGGATGGAGTACGTCAATGCATTGTTAGATATGGTCGACAGAGATCGTAACCGTCCTCATTTGGTACTGCCTCTACTTGCGAGGTTAGTGTTCCGATCCTTTATGGAGTCACTGCACTTATATCAAGAGATTTAGCGCTGGCGATGTGGACGAAAGGCTTAAAATCATCTTCCGTTGCTCGACTGCAGGGTACAAAGATCTGTCAGAATTAGATATTACTGTACTGTCGCAACTCGTCCTGCAACCTCTTTATGGTACGAATTACCGTTGAAAATGTTGTGAATTCGCCCCTGCAGATGTTTGGGTAGCCTTATTCGCTGCGAATGATGGGGTGTGTCAGTGCAGCTGGGTTTGGCGAGCCGCCAGCTCGTTCTCCACCAGTTGTTGCAGCGGATAAGTGACAACAGCTGGTGAATACCGGCTGATACGAGCGATGGTACAGCCTTGTCGCTTGGCGGAAAAAAAGAAAAGAAACTTTCCAGGGTTGCGCCGAACCCATCCACCCTGATACGCCCATCATCCGCTGCGAACAAGATTTCAGGTAAACTAAGTTCTATGCGCTTATCTTTTTCAGACAAGCAGAGAGCATCCGCGCGAGGAGACCAAACGAAACTGGACAAAATGGCAAAAATTTTGAAAAGCTTCGGTATTGGGAGTAGTTATGTTTGGCAAACATTTTATGCATGGTGGCAAGATCGCAATGCTCGCGAGAAGCGAATGGCGAACCTGGAATTCGCTCCACGACCTTATGCAAGGGAACTGCAAGGGTAGGTGAGCATTGAAGGCAGTGGGCAGATAGCTGGGGGCGCGTGGTTGCTGCCAACCTCATCAGTGCAATAGCGAGTGGGGTTGGCCGAACACCCTCTCGCAGCACTTCCACCAATAACGTTGGCACAACCGCCCGCCCTCAACCATTGTACCAACTGCCTTCAAAGTCGCTGTAGTTAGCCACTTTGTTGATACATTTCCGTGACAGATGGTTGCGTCAGCACTATACGGTTACATTCGAGTATGAGAAAAAGGCGAAGGCGAAGTCTCCTCCAGTCCGAGTTACTTATGAAAGGCTGAAGAAGTTTGCAGATGATAGGGTACGGTTGTTTTTGTCGCTAATTCTGGCTAATTAGTTAGCGAATAAAACATTTCTTCTCAGGATTCATCAAAAGTTCACGCTTTCTTGTCTTCTTATGGTTGGCCAGAGGATACGAACTTTGAAGAGATAGTTCCTGACGTGCTGAGCTTATATTTGGATCATGAACAGTGGGGAAGTGTGAAGAAGATGCTCATTTCTTTGTGAGTTCATATTGATACAGTCCTGTTCGTCACGTATTTTGGGGCATGTCAGAAGGGCTGGATTTGGCACAACGTCAGCCCGTTTTCCACCAATTATGTTCGCCTTGCCGTCTTCTACAAATGGTGAAGAACGGGCTGGCGCCACTGCAAAATCCAGCCGCTAGTACGCCCCAGCATGTGCAACAAACATGGCTGTTTTTTCATCGACAATCACCATGGATGAAAAATACACATATCTCTTTGTAGATCAG